TGGCCGTTTCCTCCTCCAGCTGCCCCCCTCTGCTGTCAGCAGGTCCTCCGGGTCCCTCCACGTCTCCGGTGCCCTCCGCCTCCTTCGCCCTGGCACCCCTCTCAGCCTGGCCAGGGGGGCAGCTGGACGAGGAAACGGCCAGGGCCGTGGTGGAGAGCGTGGACAGACTCTACAGAACCTTGCCCAGATCAGACCCTGCAGAGGTGAAGACTCTGCTACGGATGAACAAGAAAATAGCGAAAACCGTCGGTCACATCTTCAGAATGGGCTCCCAGGACCCAAACAAGGAGGAGGAGATCCGAAAATACAGCCTGATTTATGGTCGCTTTGACTCCAAGAGGAGAGAGGGCAAGCAGCTCACACACCATGAGGTAAAGTCACACAAAGAGGGGCAGCATTTATCCTGCATGAATGCCTGTTTCAAAGCATTCTTCAGACTTTTCATTCACTGTGATCTTTTTTTCCCCCCTTCTCTAGCTGATCATCAATGAAGCTGCTGCCCAGTTCTGCATAAGAGACAACGCTCTCCTGCTCAGACGGGTGGAGCTCTTCTCTCTGGCTCGACAGGTGGCCAGGAAATGTGCCTACACCTCCACATTGAAAAACGCAAGGTGAGATCAGTGCACGCCGTGCAGTCTCTGACCAACGCTCATCTACACATCTATCAATGCCTACCATGCAAGGAATCGACACCCGGTGACACCTTTGTTGTAGATTCCGACACTTTATGAGTCATTATCTTTATGCAGCATCCATAAATACATAGAAGTAGGTCTCTGATGTTGAAAGCCAGACTTGGTTAGCACATTTGATCAACCCCAAACACCTAAACCACATTTCAACCTCAGCAGACCTTTTTAGTCATATGTTCAACTTTCACTCTTCCAGAACTTAACCTTTACAGATGGAGAAGAACTTTTTTGTGTGCCTATATCTAAAAAGAAAAAAATGTCTGATTTCACAAAGAAGCTGAATAACATAGCACAGACCACGCTTCAATATTGGGCATAAATAAAAAATATCTGCGACAATCTCACTGCGGCACACTGCTGCTAGAATATAACCAGCCCTTTAGTTTTTCCTGGGCCATTGATCTATGTATGTGAGAAGCTCAAAGGCAGT